TCCACTACGCAAGCGATTTGCAATTTCTTGATTCCGTAGGCCAGGGGAACAAGTTTTGACTGACCCCAAAGTAGACCGTCTGCTTTGATACTGCGAACCAGGGATTCCATTTCTTTCATGTCTGTTTCATCAGACCAGGGTTTCACATCGAGAATGATGCTGGATTTTGCGACCGGACCGGGTTCTGAAAAAATGATACGGAAACCATCAGAATAGCTTTTAGTCCGATCAGTACTCACATCGCAACTGCACACAAAAGTACTCAAGTGAAGACTGTATGTCAAACGCCGTATGCGTGTAACGATACATATATACGCTAATCGGTAAAGACACTGCGCCAAAGTATGTGGGCAGAAAATAACTTGATTGGAACACTATACACCATCGGTTTGGAGTCGTGGGAAACCAAATATTTTCTAACGAAAGCAATATTGAACTTTTCACTTTTGGATTATGAAGGCACACAAATACATTCAAGCCATTGAATTTGACTCGATACTTTATCCTGTAGCGTCTAAAACCAACGACAAGGGGAATCATTGGGCTTTCGACTTGGGAGCCCGATAGCTCTTGAGGAAGCCAGATCCTAACGTAGTTTTTTCGGCCCTTACTTCCAGATTAGAGGTTTTCGAAAACGAAAGAACATTGCCATTCATAATAGGCGAGCACGTAATTGCCAGCAAGCAGCGGTAGGCAAACGGTTTTGTTCTTCAACGTTACTTCTCCAATCGGCAAACTCATCTCCATTTATTTTGAAGTGCTTCAAGTCGGATGTTACGTTTAGAATTTATAGCTTATCATTATCAGCACGGTTGCACTGTGAAGAACAAAGAAATGAATTTTGTTGATCGTTACCAAACTCGCACAAACTACGAACAAAGGTGGATGTAAGTACTCGTTTTGAGGACAGGAAAAAGATGTCGGTCTTTTATGATCAACGTGGAATAGTTTCATTGTGCACACAACATTTTGACTCGGTGAAAATGAAAAGAACACCACTGGTGTTGATTTGTTGTCATGCCCTTTGTTGTCTCCTACCGGCTAGCTATGGAGTCTGCTTGACAGGCGGGACAGCAACTTAACCTCATCCATATGTGCGTTTCTGCAATCGTGGTCTCCATGTCATCTATTGACTCTGGCGTGATTTTGCTGTAACCTAGACCGGCAATTGCAGACAAGGTGTGTTGGTGGACATTGGCCCGAGGACCTGTTATTCAGTGATGCAAACTGGTAACCTAAGCCTTGGAGTTGCGTACCACATAAAGGCCCGATAGGTTAAGCGTGATATTGAACCGGACGACAGCAAAGCTACCATCAAAGCTGAATGGCGGCAGAGGGGGGGGGTGAACCCCGAACCATAGAGTCCAAAGCACGCTGGTGACAGCGACTAAACCACTGCGCCACCACCACCCTCCTGCGTCACCATTAGCCTTAGTTTCTCAATTTAGTGGGCCTAGTGTGAAACTCAAAGGCAACACCCATTTAGGATCTACTTAGGCAAAATGCTAGGGAAATAAAACAAAGCACGCCAGAAAAATAACCAATGACAGCTGATAACGCTTACTTGCTGCCTTTTTCTCTGCGTACTGTGCCACGCGCTCGGCACGACGACGTTCCGCTTCAGCTTCATCCTGGAAAAATCGACCGGAAAGGGACAAGAGTTATGTTGGTACCTAAAGGTTTAAGATGCTCAAAGCGTAAATTGTATCATCAAATGCGTATACATCAGCATCGTATAGCGAAATATAGTGAAAGGAACTTGAGTGATTGCTGCCAAACTCCCATATACAGGACAAGTGAGAATGTGTAAGGTGGACAAGGGCTGAACCTATTGTTGAGGAGAAATAAGAAAACAAACTTCTATAGTTGAAGTATATGATACAATAATTTATACCAAGCACCGTAAAAACGGCTATTTTCACGTTTGACTTATCGAGAATGAAAAAATCTACCGATTTACTGTTCTATTAGGCAACTGTTTTTACCACTTATTCTTGTGTGATGAACAGCAGAAGACCTGGTATTCACTCGTGGGTCTTCTGGAACACTAGGGGAGACAAAGACCAATACTTAATCACTGGCCTTGATGTCGCCCAATGAAAAACGAACTGCAAACAAAGCACTAAAAGACAGTTCGTGTGAAAAGGCACTGAACATGATGAGCAGAACAATTAGATCTCAACTGATATCCTGGGTTTTCTTCACGTGATGCCAGTCATTAAAAGAACAGAACTAACCACCAGAGATAATCGGGGAATGTGCTTTGAGTTTTCAAAAGTCTCACGGATCGTACTGTAAAACACACCACATCATCGAATTCGACCAAATTACACCAGAATGAAAGAACCGGTATTTGAACGAAAACCTAGCTCTTCGGTGGGGAATAATTGAAGGTTGAGAACATATGAATATATATCCTTTTATCTTCAAGAATTGACCACGCCTGCACAAACCGCAGCGGAATAAGTTTAGCTCCGGTCAGTACAAGTGTTAACTTTCGCGACACTTCACCGCCTGGTACCTTTAAGGGAAATGAATATTCGCCAACAGCAAACAGGACTTCGACCAAGTGGCGGTTGCATCGTCCTAATTTTTAATCTGCGTTAAGCGCTCCAATTGCTCCACACAAACACACACCTAGTCGACCAACAATCGCAGTGTTCCTTGACCTCAAAAGCAGCCTTTGATCGAGTTCACCGCGATTCCCTAATAGGTGTACTGCTTCGAAAAGGAATGTCGCAGAATTATGTAAACCTACTGCGATCACTGTACCTGTATACTTTGGGCAGCATCAGGGTCTACGGCGTTTGTCAAGGGTGATCTAGTTCGCCATTCCAACTCAACTTCGGTAGAGACAGAAAACTAAGTGACATCCAAAATATGTGCATCAAATGGGCGACTGGAGAACTGTGCGAGTTAGGGTATACGGACGACATCGTTTATCCGTTCAAATGTATGCAGGACACGCAAAGCGCTTTAGACAGATACTCAACTCCATTTGGTATGCGCTTGGTACTTCTAAAGTGCAAAGTGATGATACAAGATTAGGTATCATCCACCCCGGCACTGATGCCTGGAGGTCAATAAGTAATTACAGTAGGTCGTTTCTCCTACGTAGGTATTTGCAAATGGCAAATGATGATAGCGTAATCCAGGAAGTAGGAGCCGGATTTCCAAGGCACGAGCCGTGAACGCAGGACTGATATATCTTTGATGTAGACGTGATGCTTCCTTGGAACTGAAAGGTCGTATGGATAGTTCTACTTTGCGGATGAGACTCTAAATTTGCGCGTGGAAGATATTCATCGTCTAGAGATCTTCGGCTGTTTAAGTAGTTCGGTGCCGGTTGGAGCGTTTAAGAAACTCTGAGGTAAGTCGTGGCTTATTTGGTAATGATTAGCAGCGGCAGCATCATTGCACAGCGTATTACAGTGCAACGAACTTCACCGATTTGACGCTTTTTCTCCTTTCGTGCTACTGACTCATCAGATAGCCAATGCCTCGGGCGGGCTACCGCTTCAGATCCACAAGCAACCTTTGCTGCGGAATGCACTGTTCGGTCAATCTGATCCCACTGCTCATCTACACTACCAGGCCGCAGCGCGTTTAGCTCTTGCCCTAGTTCACGATGAGACTGCACCTTGACGTGGTGTGATGGCTTGCGTGCCTCAATGACCCTGCGAGCTACCCAGGATGGCTTCTCAAAGCCGTAGATTCAATCATACCTGAAAGGTCAAAAGGTAGAGGCCAGACGAAGTGAGAGGCAGTTTACCGGTCGAAAAAAAACCGCTAGATGGACGTAGGAGCGGGGTATCTGGGGCTTCCTCTTGACCGTGGGAGAAGTCCGTGCACTTCATTGGACAGCTACCGCCCGCCCAAGCTGGGCAGCCCCCAGCCAATAAAAAGCTGTCCCGTCCACGTTCTGGCTGTCTCATTGGGTGCATGAGGCTAAGGGCTGATTCCGAAGGGCGGACCGATAATCATCGCACCAGCGAACAACAAACCTAACCGAAATTCAAAGACCTTGTACGACAGGTCTCCAGAAGCTCCCGTACAGGTGTATCGTTCAAGCCCCAGCGCTGGATTTACGCCCCACTGCCTTGAGGGTCAGACTCTTGATTCAAAGGCTCCGGTTAGGGTTCCCAAAGAAAAAACCCTTTGTCTGTGTGAGCTACCGCGAAGTATGTCGTGTCCTAAAGTCTTAGGCGCCCATTTGGACAACCATCTTTCCCATCTGCCTAGCTCTTCTTCTCAACCTCAAGTAATCCCAGATGCCTCCTGTTTACGCCACCCATCGAATATCAATCAGCGTTTTACAAACAAGGTCAATCAGAAGCCACAGGATTTATAAATCCGAAATTCCCTTTTCACTTAGCCGCGTTCAATGTCCGCACGCTCTATCAGATTGGCCAACAAGCTACCCTGGCTAGAACCCTCGAAACTTTCAGTGCAGATGTGTGTTGCGTCTCCGAAACACGCACACAAGACTCCACTTCCAGTATCGCTCTGCGTTCAACTGATCCAAAATCAACCTCATGCCCCAGCCTTCGTGTGACAGGCGATTCGGCATCTGAAGCGCGCGGTGTTGCTGGTGTCGAGATTGCGCTAAGTGCCCAGGCTGAGCGCCGGCTTTTAGATTGCATTCTATTCGCACGCGCTTACAGAAATTAGGCATCAAAAAGATACGCACAACGCCCTATCACCCACAAACCAAAAGCCTCACGGAACGCAATAACAGAACAATCAAAGAATGGCGGGCAGCGAAAGGAGGGGGATTGAGAGTTAGCCCTACCTTCCCTACTTTTGGCTTACCGCTCGACCACGCACGCCAGTACCAAACACACACCATTTCAACTGATGTACGGAAGAATTCCGAAGCTGCCAGTGGATCTCGATGTTGGCATTTGGCCGCGAAACGATTTATCTCCACAACAACTTCAACAGACAAGACG